CTCTGTTAACCCTAATTTTGTTATTATTTCATATTTTTTATTAGTCGACAATGTAAAACAATGTGTTAATTAATCGTGTATTATCAATGACAACAAATAATTATCACCACTGGTTATCTTGCAGTATTCTCATACAAAACGATGTGTCCCACGGCTTTTTTTTTTGTTGTCGATTCGAGCCCGAAAAACGCGCGACAAGCGCAAAAATGATGCAATATCTCGATTCGTATGAGACAAAATACGACAAGAGTGTTTATTTTTACATTCAAGATAATATTCTAAAAATAACTTAAAAAAACCCAGATTTTGAAGTTAGAAAAAAAATTCCAAAAAAATCTTCATTGTGGCATCACAGTGAGTATGCGTATACTAATTACCTCACACACTTCAGAAACACCCTGTATATCATCACTATATGCTAATGTCATATCCTGATTCTCATTACGCATTCTGTTTAATATATTATCTTCACATAAATCATTACAAAATATGATCCATAACTTTAAGGGGTCAGATTATATATATATATATAATATACTGATCGCATTATTACCACGGAGTCTCATGTAGGGTTGGAATTTTTAAAAGGCAAGGGATCATCTAGAAAAGATATAATAATGATATAATCGATCTGTGTTTCGACACGATACTACTACAGTTAATTTGTCTATACTGACGATCGTACGTAGCACCGGCTGCATCCTCTATATTTATGACGTAGAAGTACTCGCCGAAATTATGGACTACAAAATAACATAACATTTTTATTAAATTAAGAGTTAAACGGAAAACACCAAATGGCTCAATTATACAAATCGAGCTATCGAAAAATAATGATACTTTACTTATCGATATGTGATAAACGTGTTAAGCTATACAAATTATAGTTATAACCAGGGTTCGGGACTTATAGCACTTAAAATCATCAAAATAAGCGCTTGAAAAAGCACTTAAAAACATGATTATAAGCACTAAAATAGCACTTAAAATTTTAAAAAATCACGAAAAAAACTAAATGCAATTTTTCTTTATTACATTATTTTAACACTTTAAATCAAAAAAAAAAAAAAATATGTTACAAATATCAAATCTTTTTGAGTAGGTTAGGTACTTCTTATAGATTTTCTGAAAAATAAATAAATTTTTTTTAAGAATAACTAAAGAAAAATTGATTAATTTAAAAAAAAATGTATTTTAAAATGTTTCTTACCTTCTCTATTGCATTGAATAATTAGATGTTTTCTTAAATTTTCAAACTCAAAAGCCCTTCTGTTGTTTGATAGTATTGTTTTAAATGCCGAAAACGAACGCTCAACATCTACGGATGTGATTGGCGCGTATTTAAAGTATACGATATCGTCGAATTCTAAATAGTTTTTTCTATGGCAAAAATGATGCATATTGCAAAGACGATCGAACCGATTAGTAGATAAGCACACAAATGCGGGTCCCGGTGTTTATTACTGAGAAATATGATACAAAGTAGAAAAAATATTTTTAATTCTAGCCTTACCAGTTACCGTGGAAAAAAATAGAAACTAACTAAAACTTCTAGGTTTACGTGTCATAATTAAGAAAAACTGGTCAAAAAAGCAAAAATTATCAAAATAACTTGAAATAAGCATTTTTTTGAAAAATCGCTGAAAAAAGCAAAAAAAAGCACATTCAAATTTCATAATTGAACGTGTTGTAACATGACATACACTTCTATAGCACTCTGCTACATTTTAAGTCAATCCATAAAAATAAGCAAATGCTATAAGTCCCGAGCCCTGGTTATAACTATAGAATCATTTCTTAATAACAATATGTGTATAAAATCATTAGAATCATTTGTAAATATAATTATTATTCTAATAATTATTTTTTAAACAATTTTTCAAAATTAGATCTCTTTATGGGGGTAAAAGGGGGTTTTTCTATATAGCTATATAATACAAGAACAACGCCTTGAAGGGACAGTTAGTATTATATAAAGTATGGATATAAATACAATATACATATGATATAGTATAGTATAGATCAAATACATAGCTAACACAATGTCAATGCTTAACCGACTTTGTAGATAGTAGCTACAGACAACAAATTAATATAAATGACGTCGTGACGTTGAATACGACGTGATACCTTTATGAATAATAAGTTGTTAAACAACGATATTTATATTGTTGTTGGTAGACATTTGTTAGAAATGTGTTGGCACTATTAAAAATTTACAGATCATAAAAATTAATTGTGTATTTTTGTATTAATGTAACATCTGAAGCAAATTAAACAATAGTGGTACAAGGTATGTAATTAATTATATTAATATAATAAACTGCATTAATAAAATATTATCCGATGAGTTGATTGATGATAATCTTATGTTCGATTAAATATAGTATACATATTTTTACCTGTTATAGTGTTATGTACTGATTTATAAAACTTGTTCTTATGAGACCTGGAATGTGGTAGATTCCCAGTGTTTATGGTTAGGCCCCCGTATTTAAATTATTAAATTAATTTAAAATTTGTATAATTTTTATGATTTACAGCACCTAGTAAGTTACAATGTTTATAGTACCAGACGACAGACATGTATTCCTGTAATTAAGAATTATTTGTGATATTGTATAGAATAAAATAATTTTTAAGTCTACACAAACTAATAGGATATCTAAAAAAATAAACAAAATGTAAGAAAGTTCAAAAATTCTTAAAACCAAATAATAATCAAATTATTAGGTGTACATTAAATTGTTTAATAGTTTCATATTTTAATTAAAAAACATTTTATGACAATGAAAAATTCTCAAATGTCAAGTATTAAATTTCATTGCCAATATTGTTTGACTAATAAAAAAGTAATAACTGATATCCTGGCTATAATACAAATTACTTAACATAGTACCTTAGAATTTTTACTATAATATAATGTAGGTATTTTCTACACCAACAAAAAAAACTATATTAAATCAAACTTTTTTTTATTTTTAGATAAAATTACAACTCCATCCAAATATTGAATTAATTAAATTATATTGATACGATACATTAATAAATAAAAATATATATTATTATATAACTTAACGATATAATGAAAAGTATCTAAATGCATTTATAATAATCACACTTATTATATAATACAATAAATAAGACTTTAAAAAGTCAACATTAAAAATGTCCAATGATTTTCTTAGTAATAAATTTTTAAAAAGAGAACAAAATAATGTGGACAAGTTGGTACCTCTCTGCTCTATATTCGGGGTAGAGTGGACCCCTGTATGAGATGTCTGAGGTTCAATTTCAGTGATACATGGATACATTATTGCGCACGAAATACAATACTAATCTAAAAATGTCCTTTGCACACACACACACACACCCACACACATAACACGCATAACAATGATGATAATTGGTAAATAATATTGTTTTTAGCCTTAAGAGCGCTATAGCTATTATTCCCATACAAACCATCAGCTGTTAATATTCGAGAATCTTTGGGCATCATTTCTGTAGTTACTTTTTATGTTTAATTTCGTAACTTGTTTATCTCCAGTATTTACGGACGACGGCGATCGTCTTGTTCCGGTGACGACTTGACGAGTCGCCTTGAGGTAGGTTAGGTGGGGAATAGTGACGGTTACAGTATACCCACTAACGTTCTCTCGTATGATTCACCACTTACATCTTACAGGTGAATACTCAGGTACAGGTGTACGGATTTCGACAGCTTTGAACGTACGACGTATAACGGCCTCGTGATTCATTGTAGGGCCAGTAACACAATAAATAGTAAATACCGTAGTTATAGCATGGATTACTAGGCGAGTGCGGCACATATACATTGTTTGTAAGACCGACTAGCGTATCGGAAGTCGCAATACCGGCGAAACGAACCAACGCAGGCTATGGTGGTGAGGAAGCACAACGACGGACAAGACGGCACAACAACGCACGCAGAGTAAAAAACAAGACAAGGGCGGAAAGCACTTACGAAGACATTAATTTATAACGGTTTTTTTTTTCCTGAACGAAAACAATTATTGTACACATGTATTTATAGGCCCCATAATATATGATTTACTATAGGCATATAGTAAAGTATATAAAGTATTTATCAACATGGAGCAGATAACCATGATAATAAGGTATGTACTCATACCCCATATTTTTGTACATGTAATATTATTGCTTAGTCATATTACTTAAGCTTACCGATGCGGAGAGAGATCGTAGGCGATTGGGATTTACTTCCAATCCTATTTACAATGGAAAGGTCAATGGTAACAATCCAAAACGCACTATTTCCATTTTCACTTTTTTCAGTGTAGATAGATTTGTGTTATGAATTTCTGAAGTTGCTTAGAGATATGGAAATCTTACCAAAAAATGTGTAAAATTGTAATGAACTTTTTTTTGTTATGTCCCCTAAGCCATATTGTGATTAAATGTCCTAAATTTGACATCCAAGTTTAATAATTGTGACAAAACTTATTATTTCCATCGAATAGTACGTTTTGGCATAATTTAAGGAAATAGTACATTTTGCTGTTTATTTTTTTAAAAACGTAATATTTTTGAAAATGGTAAGTTTTAGCTTAAGGGTGTATTATTCTATATTATTTATTTTTCTATTTGGTCACATTTTTTAAAAATTAATAGTATTTTTTTAAATTTTAAAATAGTATATGAATATAACAAATGGATAGGTACTTATTTTACAAAAATACATTCACAACTAGGTAACATCCAATAAATATAAATGGTAAAGAAATCAATCGTGGATAAAAAACGTGCTATATTTCCCGAGTTCACTAATCTCGTCATGTTACACTGCCATATTATAAACGTATTATGTTGACAACAAAATATTATTTACCTACAATGTACTAATATTTCCCCAAATGGTTTACTCAGCTGCACTGAATATGCATATTTTGTTTCATATATTTTGCAGAATGATATTATAAATATCATCGTTGTTGAACAACTAATGATATAATTCTTATAGATACTGAGTCTTATTCAACGTTAAAACGTCATAAAAAATTAAATTTATTGTCAGTATCTACAAACATGGTTAAGCATGTTATTATCTTAGCTATATTTATTATGTTTTCTATGATCGGAAATATATTTGCATTGACTCCGGAGAAAAGTGAGTGTATACATTTTGTTAATTACATTTTACGGAAAATCACACACTAATCTTTAGTCCAGGGCTTAAATCAAAAAAAAAAAAAAATACTACAGTTCACCGTTATGAGAACATTAAAAGTCTTGATCATAGACCTATTAACCTACTACTAACCTAACCTATTAATAGGTCTATGGTCTTGATCGATTGGCTGATAACCTTATTAACATTAAAACGTTATGAATTATTAAGACTTAAGAGTTTTAAGTTTAAATGTTTTTGAATTGCATTTAGATTTATTTTATTTTGATTATGTACTTAGTATTTAAAGTCACAGTTTTACAAAATTAATCTTAACTGATAGTTATAATTTTATAAATTTTTTTTTTCTGGCATTATTATGTTTCAATTATTAATTGCTTTCTGTTATATTATTCTATATTAATAATAGTTATAATCGTTTACTAATATATTGTCCGTTATCGATTTCAATCGGTTTTTGATTAGTTTAATTAAAGTCGTAACGTTATAAAAACGTTTTGAATCCCTGATTTAGGCAATAAATACAAAATTAAATTACAATTTTCAATACAAAGAATTAGTGTTATTTTAACGAAATAGTTATTATATATTATAAAGTGTTTTCTTTTAATATTCTATTTCCAACAGAATATAAAACTTCAGAATTATTGTTCATCATAGATATGTTCTAATAAATGTAAATTATAGTAAACTCGCCTTATTTGTAAAATACCTAACACATGTTTTACTTACCATTAAATTATTTAGAATTTAATCGTGCTAAAAATTGCTATCGTAAGTAATTTGATTTCACTTTGCAAATATATTATATACATTGCTTATATATAAGTTATAAATACATTGAGTTTCGCTCAATATGATCACTTCTTTACTCCTGGGTAATAATTGTTGTTTGTATTAAAGTTAGTTCATTACATTTTCAATTTATTCTTATATAAAAAGATAAACCACTTATTCAATTATTCAGTACAATATTGATTAGATGTTATTGAGGACGATCACCCTCCAAAAATATAAACTAAAACACGTTCATAGCAAAACTGTGTGGCCCATTACATGTAACTCATAGAGAAAACATTTTTACACCGTTAAAAATAACAGAACGTTAACTATAGACTATAAAAAGGGTTGTCTGATAACCTGATTATAACTATCAAATGTGTTGAACTGACAGAATTAAAAAACATTTCAAACCCTATGTTTTGATTACGAGCAAAAGCCGACTAGAGATAATAGTAGAGGTTCTAGTTTTTTAATGGAATAAAAATTTTTTCTCCACGAGATGTATGTAATGACTAATGAGTAATGACTAGTGAGCTACATTGTTCCGCGATGAACTTGTTATGTGGAAAATAATTAAGTTGCGTGAAAATAATTTAATTTATCTAGCCGTCATGTGCTGCTTCTAGTGGAATAAAAGTTCAATTATATTTTAGTGTTGTCAGTCCAATGTTTCGACCCCCCCCCTTCCATTCAAACATAAGCGTCGTTGCAACTTTGAGACGTGCCATAGGGTGCAATTACTCTACGCAACATTCCCTATATTTTATTTAATAATAATACAAATACAAAAAAAATATTTATTATGGCTTATAATATTGTTGATCGTGCCGCATGGCGAGTCGGACAAGCATTCAATTATGGGAGAAAAATTTCGAAAAAAACTCCCAGAAAAATGCCAAAATTAAGCTGGTTTCATCACCACGACATACGCCAGCCCATTCAGGGCTGCCGATAAGTGTTTTTTTGGCTGATAAAAAATACGTTTTGTCCCGCACCCTCCTTATTATCCTTATCTGGCCCCGTGTGAAATTTGCAATCAAAGGACAACAATTTCAAGATGTAGAAGAAATTAAAACGAGCTTCGTAGCAGTTCAAAATTGCATTTTGTTTACCATTACATTTTGTCCGGAGGAGAGTATTTTGAAGCAGATATCATTTAATAATGTGTAACTTAACTTTTGTTATTTATTAAAAATAAAATCCCGGTATTTTTCGATCTCACCTCGTATATATTTTTTATTAACCAACAGTATCACTAATAATGCAATAAATACAAATGCCTATGTTTGGATACGCGCAGCATAAAACTGAGCAAAACATTACAGTGGCATATACATATATGATATATGCATTTTTTTCCTGCAAATACACGATATGTCGCAGACGAAGGTCCAGAACATAATAAACACCGTTCCCGAATAGGAACAGGAACAGCCTAATTATGTAAAATTTCAAAATGACTGTTTGAGCAACTCTCTAGGCGGAATTATACCTAGTCTATTTATGAATCCAAACCATCCAAGGACCCATACATATGTACAAAAAAAAAACATTAAGCCTACAAAGCATTTTTTAAGGAGCTTATAAAGTTTTAAATGTACGGAAGTACTCACATTAAAATTATATATAAAAAGATAAATATTTGATGTTATTTATTTTATGATTTGAATTGTTATAGAGCAAATGTTTGAAAATAATCTTATTATAGGATTGTTTGGTATGTTAATTTTATTAAACTAATAAAAACGTACTCATTTTTTGTGACTTTTTCAATTACGAAACTAAAGTTTTGACTGATTAGAAACAGTAAAAAAGTATTAGTTTTTAAAGTATATTGCCATAGTCGGCCATTGATATAACATGGAAAGCCATGCGACAATTATGAACTAGAGTTCCTCAGTGTGTGTGCGGCTGTTGACTCGGAACTATTGAGTTTAATATTGTGTGTCTCTTATGAATTATGTTAATAATTGTATATGTATGAGTGTATCCGAATCACACGTCTAGTAATCCGTTTCCCATATTATCAAGTATCAACACTTAATTATGTTTATACTTCCAAATTTATTGTATGCAATATTGTATCACTGCATAATATGTGATCCGTTACAAATGGATCTGTTATTTTATAACCACATCCTATGCTCTAGAATGTATTATGTAAATTCATGAAACATCATCACCTCATAAACATTATGGCACATGCCAGACATATGGCAGACATTGTGATTTTGCACTCCATAAATCCAGTGAAATATTTTGGTTCGATTTTCTATCCATCATTAAATATTGGGTGTTAAACATCAGTTAAATTCAAATTTAAAATTTTGAATAGTTATATAATAGTTGTATGTTGTAATTTCATACACATATTATGTGTTTTTCCGGATTGATTGAAACATAAAAACTGTACCAAACTGAGATTTATGTGTAATATAATTTATCTTTTTTATAGACATAAATCCTTTGGCAAATGACACTTTTGTGATCGTAGTCAACAGATTCTGTAAGTATGCATTAGTATTTGTTTATAGTGTTATGTTTAAATATCGTATTTTGTTTACTATGCTTATAGATGATTAAATCGTATATATATATTATAATAGTTACCTAATACAAAAAGGATAATGATAACACCTGGAGCGTTAACTAGATTGTTACAATGTTGATGCATACCTCTCAACAATCACATAGTAATATCATTACATTTGTTTATTTGTAAAAAAAAAATGTACCATTTTATTATAATATTGCAAAAGAGAAGGGGGAACTAACTCACTATGAAAAAAATTAAAAAAAATTGTATTAGGTTTGTAATCCTTAGTAATACAACCATCACACGTACTAAAAATTGTAGGAGGAGAAAGCACATATATAGCTGGTAGTTAAAAATTATTTTTAGATCGATATTATGCGCTGTTCTGCCTACTTTTTAGTAAATGCTTGTCCGTTGCTTATTTGCTACGTAGTTTTAATTGTACAATACAGATATTCAACACGCCACTCCCTATTATTATTAAACCATTGTAATAATATCACAAATACCGAAAGCCTTTTACATTCCTTCCAGTTGTTTTATTATAAGCCTACTTTATTGGAACATAGGTTTTATAAGCATATGCCTAAGTTTAACAGTTAAGACACTTTTTGTAAGTTTCTGTATTTTTTTTTATTTTTTTTTAATTCTTAAACCTAAATATTCTAGCAATGTATTTAAAAGATATTCCTGTTCATTTTTTATGAGGTATAGGTTGTTATAATAGGTTTTGACCGATTTGTTGGTGCCACTGACTCATTTTTATATCACACGTACCTAGCTCATCGGTAAGGTTACATTTTTATTTTAAATTTACTTTTAATTAATTAGGTATCGTAGTTAAATATCATTGACTTATTGAGACATTTTGTGGCCACTGTAATCTTTAGACTCAATAATTCGAGTGAAATATTTTGAATTGATTTTTGATGCAAAATTTAGTGTGATATTATTACAGTTCATTGTATCAGGAGGTTAATTTTAGAATTAAAATTGTTTAAAATATTTGTATGCTGCAATCACGTTTACAGATGGGTTCAATAGATTACAATGGAATATAAAAAAAACAGTACAAAACTGAGATATATGTATAACATAATTTGTTTCTTTATAGATAGAGTCCATTTTGATAGACACAATATACTAGATGCAAGGACCCAATTCAGTAAGTATACATTATTGGGATAGGGCAAAAATATAAAATGATATTATGCATCCCTGTTCACCAAAATACTTCTTCACGCACTCTTTTCACACATTGACCAATGTAAATTATGTGTATGTAGCACTCTACAAGAGGCGAATAGGTTAGGTTAGGTTAGGCTAAGAATCAAAGATGAACCCACGGTCTTAGATGGTAATGAGCAACCAGTATATTTTTAATCGTGAACAGTAACAAACTGAGATGTAGCTATAATATAATTTTTTTTTCCTTTTTATAGTTGCGCAGCTCAATGACCCTGCAGAAACTGAAGATAAATTAAATAGCTTCCGTAAATATACACCACTATTATTCAAATATTTTATAATTTATGTGCTGTGTTTATTGATGGTAATAATAATAATAATTTATTTACTGACCAGAAAAGCTTTCCGAACTGGTTTAAATAATATTAGTGTGTTATCAATAAACATATAATTCTAATATTGGCGGTATTTTGTTAAAAGAGCGTTTACCCCTAAAAATCGAAAAATACGTTTTTGGTATCAAAAGGATAAAATCACAAAAATAATCTAGAAAAACGGCGTGTACATCTACAAAAAAATAAGATATAAATACCGAGTACAATATATCCAAACGCCCTTTTAAAAATTAAAATAATCTACATTGAACCTTTGAAAGACCACATGGAATGTATGCTAATTAATTACAATCTACACAGTTAGTAACACTAATTTATGGTTTTAGCTGTTTGTATATTACCAAATTAAATCTTAAAAATTGAGTATTTAATCAGTTTTATTTGTTTCCTGAACAATTTGGTTTACGTCCTTTTAAGAAAATACCGCCGAATTATTGCTGATTAGTATTTGACCATATATGGCAGGGATGACGAACATATCTGTACCTGAGTTTCAAATAAAAATATTGGTTTCATTTAATTTTACCTGTCAAAACATTTGATGATCGCTCAACGTTAGTAGAATACTACCTATATGCACAATAAAAGGAAAAAAGGAAAACCTTTGTATTGCGAAAGAACCATATGTTGAGTAGTAATTTGTGCTTACCTACAGAATACACTTTATATTTTTACAGTTAACCATTATGTTACACGAATTGATTTTGGTAGAAGAATGAGGGCTTTAAGTACGTATACATAAGTAGTTATTTTAAATGTTTTATTTTAATATTTTATAATGTTTATAATGTGCTTATTGATGATGTAATGTGTTACAATTGGTAGTACCAATACAAACACACAAATATTCAAAAAACAGAAACACGAATAGTACATTTTTCTGGAGTTATATAAGATTAGAAACTTTTACTAATCCTCTAAACTCCTGCTCAACATATTATTAAATTATATCAATTCTGTTTTATTCTTCAAGAAACTCCATTCATTTGCTGATGACAGCTATTTCGTTTAAGTGATTACATCAGTTGATAAAATCGGAACTACTTCACATAGATATTGATAATATAGTAAATGTGTGTTCTATTAAAAAAATCCAAGAGTTTTCTAGTACCAAATTAGTAATAGAACGTTATCAATATTGTTACATAATATAAATATAATTTATTTAGGGCTTATGTTTAAATCAAATTTAATATTAAATTTACATATTTCAATAATTATCCAAAAGCGTTAGTTGAATTATTTTTCATTAGACGTCACGTCGACGACTTAACCTATCATTTCACTTTCAAATCATTGTATTTCTCATTGATTCAATCCTGTTTAGATAAAAATTCTGTTCTTTGGTCTGTCAATAGGATAATTTAAATAAATAGAGGTTTCAAAAAATATTTTTAAATTTTTCTATAAACAGTCAAATTTAAAAATAACCAAATTACTGTGGTAAACACAAGTTTATTCCACAACATGATTTTTCAAACTAAGATTTGATTTCTAAACTTGGAAGTAAGATGAAAAACATTGGACTCACAACTCAAAAACTTGATAATTGTAATATCATAATATTGTAATTCAATATTGAAATATTGTATATGATTCTGTATAAGGTTTCTTACGTTTCTTAAGATGTGTAGAATTCTTTCATTATAGTTGCGTGTTGAAACTATACATTTGATAACTAATTCTTCGATCAATCGTGTTGTTCAAAGGGATAATATTGTTAATTGTTTTGGGAATCATTTGATTGAATTTTAAAATAATGCCAATTACGTTATTAAGTGATATACAGTAATCACATAGTCCTGTTATTATATTTGTTAATTTTAAAACAACCTTATATAATATATTATGATTTTAATTCTGCATCAGGAAATAGGAAACTAAATTGTCATGGAATAATCAATATTAAATTGTATTATTGTTGTGTTTCTGAGTCATATTATATCGATCACGTGTACTAAAAATCGTAGATAGAGAAAAGATGGTAGTTTGTCGATAGTCAAATATTTGCGGCAGTATCTAGGTAATTAATGTCTTAATGTTAATGGATTGTTTTTTAATACGGAGTGTGATTAGTTCGACAGAGATATTCAGTACATCTCTCCATATTATTATTAAATTATTACCAACACCACAAGACTATTATATTTCCTCCAGTTGTTTTGTGATATCTATTACGTTTTATAATACGTGTTCATACGAGGAATTGCTGAAGTAGATAAAATAATTAAAATATATTATTCTGAGCCAATGTTGCAATGCATAATATAATTTTATATGTTATATTAGAGGATATAGTAAAAGCAAATAGATTAGTAGGTAAGTTACATATTATTGCCAGTAATCTATAGTATTATAATTACATGTTTATTGAGTACATCTCTCAATACCATTTTATTATTAAATTACAAACATTATTAACTTCTTATATTAATTGCTGTTTTATTATTTAAATTAAGTTTTATAATATGTGTTATTATAAGCCAAGGTCGAAGTGAATAATATCTCTTATTATATGTTATAGTAGACGAAACAAGGAATAATCTGCCACCATGTAAGTTTGAATTCTTTCTAATAATCTATAATATTATAACTACATGTTTAAAATGTATAGACTGTATAATTCATGAATATTTGTTACTGCATAATTTATCTATGTTCATTTAAAATGTAGCATTTATGAAATAGCAATAAACATTATAACTCGAACCTAACTCAAATCTTTTCAGTTCCACTGCTTTTGTTTGTTAGCAATTATGCACCTAATCATAGTCGTGGTGGGTAATTATTAAACTTGTTACATTACAATAAAACATAAATATATAACACTATACAAAATTTTATAATTTATAATATATGCTCTAAATCTATGATTCATTGTTATCATTGTATTCAACTAAAAATAAAAATATTTAGTTAACTATTAGTTAAACTGTAATTTGTGTTATTTTTTTTAAAGTTATTTATAGAACACCCGCTGACTTTTGTAAAGCATACTCAGAACGTATCCCTTTAGGTAAGTACATGTTAAAAATATGTTGGTACTATTAAAAATGTACAGATCATAAAAATTAATTGTGTATTTTTGTATTAATGTTACATCTGAAGCAAATTAAACAATAGTGGTACAAGGTATGTAATTAATTATATTAATATAATAAACTGCATTAATAAAATATTATCCGATGAGTTGATTGATGATAATCTTATGTTCGATTATATATAGTGTACAAATTTTTACCGGTTATGTACTTATTTATAAAACTTGTTCTCATGAGACCTGGGATGTGGTATAATTTTTACTATAATATATTGTAGGTATTTTCTACACCAGCATAAAAAAACTATATTAAATCAAACTTTTTTTTTATTTTCAGATAAAATTACAACTTCATCCGAATATTGAATTAATTAAATTATATTGACACGATACATTAATAAATATAATATATATTATTATATAACTTAACTATATAAAAAATATCTAAATGCATTTATAATAATCTCACTTATAATGTACTGTAATAAATAAGACTTTAAAAAGTCAACATTAAAAATGTCCAATGATTTCATAGTAATAAATTTTTAAAAACAAAACAAAATAATATGGACAAGTTGGTACCTCTCTGCTCTATATTAGGTGTCGAGTGGACCCCTGTAAGAGATGCCTGAAGTTCAATTCAGTGATACATGGATGTATAATTGCACACGAAATACAATACTAATATAAAAATTTCCTTCAAGCGAAGATGTATTTCAAACAATATTATTTAATGACAAAAGTAACCATATATTATACGATTCGTCTCCATTACGATATTATGGTACACGCATACACACACACACATTATACAAAGAATTACATAACATTACAACAACAATATTTTGGTTGACGAAGTGACCGAGTGGTCTGACACGTCCGCTGCGACGCAGCAGGTCGCGGTTCGATCCTCGGCCACCGGTCGGCATTTTTCTCCGGACAGGTCGCGGTGACCGGAGAACAAGTGCTGCCATCCCCCAACCGGGCATGGCAGAAACCTATGGGTGCCCAATAGAAATTCTGCCAAACACAGACACACACGTGTATGATACGAGAAAAAAAATGATATTTTGATTGGCTCACATAAATTATTAATAATAGATTAAAATTAATTGTTTCGTCAAGAGGCTCCTACAATGTTGGTGGTTGGTTTCACTGACTATACCATCGCAATAAACACTTTTGAAATGAATTATATTGGTACTAATTGATGACCACACTATAAGTACGCTGCATGGTTGGGGACGTAAGACAACGCAAGTACATTATTTTCTTCCCGCTTTAACAACAAAATTGAAAATATAAACATTACGGGTATTTACTGGAATGTATGTTTCTTATAAAGTTATAACAGTCAATATTCAATAATGCAACAAATTAAACAATATCAGCATATATTACGATACTAATTGATAAAATAGTAATGATAATGACAGTATTTACCAAGGCGTAATGTAAACAGATTAAGAAACGCCGCTGTCATTATTGATGCTCTAGTAGTCAAGTCAGTCAATTGTCAATAAAATGTTATAAACATGGTAAAAACTAAAAATATCTGTAATCATTTCTTATTTATGAATAGAACATGAAAATATCAGGCTTGTTACATGGAGAAAAAATTCATAGTAAGTATTTTCAAATACATCACCTGCTGGTCGCTCATTGCCTACTTATATAATATTAATATAAATTAGGGTAACTCCAATAGTAAAATATAGGCATTAAATAAAATAGACTGTATAATTTTATAATAAAAAAATCACACAGTAAATTAATATAATAATGCCCATCTGTTTGGCAATATAACAAATGTATAATAGTGATAAATATAAAAAGTAACAAATCGGTTGACTCAAAGGTCCAGTGAATATAAACAGTATAAAAGGTATCAAATATGATAGTATAACAATAAACCAATAAAGCAATATTTTATGAATAATATTACTATGTGGTGCACCACGTACCTTGAGTATAATTATGATGTCATTTGGTGCCTACATCTGTACATAATAATTTAAATAAGTAACAATAAAAAATAACAGTTTGATCTCGCACACTCACATGACCACCGCTAAAAATACCAAGAAGAATCAATATAACCTGCAGCCAAACCATACAAAAAACCAAATACACAAGTTGCTCACCAATGACAACTAATATAAAACATGACCCTTTAATGATAAAAACCTGAAGTTCGCCGAATAATGAACAAGTTATGCATCTGCATTAGGTACAAGAAAAAAAGTTACATAAATAAATAAAAACAAACCAGATTTGAAACGTTCATATTGATAACCCCAACCATAAATTAAAATAATAATAGGAATTAAATTAATTTCATAAAAAATATAAAATAAAATACAATTATTACTAAAAAAACAAAATGAAAAATAATAATAAAAATAAACATTAATAAATTAAAATAATGAAAATAATTATTTTTTAAATTAAGATTAGGAATATAAACTAATCTAATAATTCTCACTCCTAATATAAATTTTAAATAACAAAATATATCCATACCAAATAAATATCTAATATTTAAAAAATAATTGAATATTAGAATCTTGAAATATATGAAAAAAAAATTCTGGGCTTATCATCATCTTTTAATCCACAAGCTAAAAAAAATCATTCTAAGTATAGTTAATATTAAAATTGTGAAACCTAACACTCTTTCACTAATAAAAAAAATAAAAAGTACTAATAATAAAATATATTGTTTAGTAAATATTATTCAATTTAATAAAAATAATAAAGACAAAATTATTAATAAATTATCGATATAGATAATTGGCGATAATATTATATAACGTACCTAATAATATTACATAACGGATTATTCTATGTTCACTCTAATATAACATATATATTGTGAGATATTATTCACTGCGACATTGGCTCATGATAACACATAATTAAAATGTAAGTAAAGTGTTTTACATCCTACTTCTAAGATAAGTATCTTCGTAACAAGAAGTATATAATGACGAAGCTTCGTATTTATACTACGAATTTTTTGCTCTTGATAATTGACAGTTTATAGAAGCACACCAGAAAAATCTTTTTTTGTATAAGTAGTCAACCTATATTTATTTAAATAAATCTAATTGACTAGTAGACCAAAAAGTGGAATTATAATCAAATCAGAAACGAACCAGTGAGGATTTGGTACAATAATTTTAAAGCGAAAGTATTAGTTAAGTCCTTGAAGTGACTTCTAATAAATCCTAATACATTTGATACTTATTGATAATTATTAAAGTTTCTTTATTAGAACACTAACATACTGAATCTTAGTTGAAGTAATTCGGATTCATTAATTAATTAAATCATTCTAATTTCTAACACAATTTCAGTCATCAACAAATGAATTTAATTTTCTCAAACAATACAACAGAATTGATGTAATTTGAAAAAGAGTGGAGAGAATCAGTAGGAGTTTTTGATCTCATGATATTTCAGAAAAATGTACTATTAGTGGTGACTGAGTTTTGAATATTCTTTGAACAATTTTTAAAGTCTTGTTTCTTCTGATTTTCACATTATTGTTTTCAAATATTTGAAAATAATATGTAACCCTGGTTTGGTGTGTAATATTTTAAAATTAAAATTTGCTATTGTTTCCCCTATAACAAGGATCTATAATTCATTGATGAAACAAATTGTATATTTATATAAATGATATCATTGGGATGTACAAAGTCAATACTTCATAAAATACATTTTAAAAATGAAAGACGATATTATTTAAATCTAAACCATATAGTTCTTGGCACAAATAAATATATGTCTAATTATAGTAACTAACTGAAACATAATCAGTAAACACCATGGTTAAAATAAAATTATAGCTTGTACTAAAATATGGTATATTAGGTTTTTCTGTTTGAACTGATATGTTTAGAACCGGAAGATATAAATCAAGACGAAGCGAATTATCTATTTCAGTATCATATAGGGGGACGTGGTGACCGAGTGGTCTGACACGTCCGCCGCGACGCAGCCGGTCGCGGTTCGATCCTTGGCCACCGGGCGGCATTTTTCTCCGGACAAGCCGTGGTGACCGGAGAACAAATACCGCCATCCCCCAACCGGGCATGGCAGAAACCTACGGGTGCCCAATAGAAATTCTGCCAAACACACACGTGTATGATACGAGAAAAAAAAAAGTATCATATAAGTCAGGGATGGGCAACTGGCGGCCCGCGTACCTTTTTTATCTGGCCCGCGCTACATTTTCAAATTACTTCATATAATTTTAGCGCTTATCTGTATTTTATTTTATTACATTTTTTGATGAAATGTAGATATAAATTCGAACTTGAAACATATTAAATCGAAGGAAAGAAATCGTTTAACAGATGAAATATCCCTGATATAAGTGATGACAATGTAACAATCTAGAGATGACTGTACGTGTTATCATTAATATATGTATTCGATCATGTATGTATGTATTTGTACTGCCTATTGTAACACATTAAATCATCCATAAGCACAGTATAGACATTATAAATAAATAGTTTTGTTTACTTACGTAACTCGTGCATTTTTGTACGAAAATCATCTTGTGGAACAAACTACGAGTAGAAAAAGATAAATTGTATTGACCTTAAATATTAATTTTTACTGCTATTTTATTTTAATCTAATCGACTTCACAAAAAATAATATTTAAATTATTAATTATTAATTTGGCCTGAAGCAATGAAGTATGACCTTCAGTTTTCAGTAATTGATGGAATACCCTATGACCAAAATGACTTTCATTCGACTTTTGGAGTGTAGACATTTCAACGCCTGCTAAATGTCTCGATAAGTCAATGATATTCAACTAAGATTCCAACTGAATTAATAGTCAATTTAAATGTAAAACTTAGTTAAGGATCATGATTCAATAGCTCCGGGACCTAGGTGTGAAATAAATAGAAATACATGTCAGTGGCAACGAAAAATCGGTAAA